GTTCACTTGCTTTAGTAAGGATTTACCAGATTGCTGGTGTCTCCTGGAAACTTGAACGCGTCTACTGCAAACTGAAGCACATCTTGCCTGGGTCTTGGGGATATAAATGTTGAGGTGGCATCCTCCAATTGCCCATCCACCAGGCACCTAGACACAAAAGCAAGGGCCAGCAGGATCCCACTGTCAGAGATGTCCATAACCTGCAGAAAGGCATCGCTAAATGAGGGCACAGCCAGCTCTTACCCACTGAAGTCAATGAAAGCATACTGGAGAGAAGAACTCCAGTTTGGGGTTGGGGTGGCCACACAATTGTCCACAAAGAGCCTCAGGGGTGCATGGTTCTCTGTGTTGACATCAGCTTGGAAGTGGAAGACTTCTCCCAGTTGAAATATGGTAGAGACTCTCTCAGCGCTCCAGTCATCTGGAAGGAGAGAGGTCACCAGGTGCTTATGAATGGGAAACCAACTTGTCCTTCACTGCTTCCACCCAGAGAAACCCCACTGGGCACAAGGTCCTGGGTATTCACCAAAACTGTACCAAGCCCCAGCTGCTCCAGGAGCACTGGAGTGACACCAGCACCAGCTGTGCCATCTCCTGGCAGCGTGGCCACCTCAGAGGCCTGTCCAGGGTGCCCTGCACCAGAGGAGACCCTCACCCAAAAACCTACCGTTCATGAGGCGCAGGGAGAAGGGTAGCTTCTCCTCAGATGACAGGGTGGAGCGGAAGGGCACCCATGTGGGCTTCACACCATTGCTGCTCACATTGTCCCTCCTGGGGAGAGGGATGCCCATAGTTAAATTCTCAGGGGTGACAGAAGGGCTTGCTTGGTACTCATCTGCATCTGCTCACCTTGGGTAGTGGCACTCAATAGGAACCACAGCAGGGCTGGAACGGACAACGACAGGATTGCCAGCAGGAGCTGGCTTGTAATTTAAGCTCGTGCTGTAGACTAGAGTATCAGGGGTCACCTGGGGAAAAGACAAGACACATTACCCAGTCATTAAGATCCTTGCCCACACACACTGAGCAAGCACATTAAAGCCTAGAGACTCAGTGCTGAGATGTTTGCTCTGGTCATCAGCCAGTACTGCATCTGTGCTTTAGGCAGGCGAGTGGCACTCGCTCATCCTGCTGCAGGGATGCTCTGGGCTGGGAAGCTGCTCCAGCTCTGGTCAGCAGCAGAGCTGGATGCAGAGGTGCTTAAGCTGATTCTTTGTCTTTCTTCTAGTTTCCAAGCCTCAGAAGAGCAGACAGGAAGGTCTGTCCTCCAGGATTTCAGAGAGACACTTCTGCTCAGGGGGATTTAATGAAGATATCTGCTGACTGGTGTATAGGGGGTGGGCACCTGCTCACTCTCACGGCCCCAAGCCTCTCCCAGGGGAGAGGCACCACTTCACATTTAAGTTTCCTGTAAAGTAACTTCATGCTACACTCCAGGAGACGCCTCTCAAGATAAGCATCCACTGCTGTCTTGCTGCAGTGGCTCCCAGCACCAGCTCATCTGGGATCCACCCTGAAGGTGGCAGCACCAGCATAAGTAGTCTTAAAACATTTAGATACCTCTGTATACATCAGGGAAAAAAAAAAAAAAAAAACAAAAAACCAAAACAAGACAAAAACTAGTTTCTCTGCCTCCTGCATGCCCTTCCCTGCTCACACAACCCCAGAGCTCACCCCTGGACTGGACAGCACAGCTTCTGCTGACCTTGAAATGCAGACTGAGCTGTTCAGCCTCTAGGAAAGGCTTCGGAGCATTTCCCTGAGCCCAACCACACCACAAGCCCTGCCAGGCTCAGCATCCCCAAGCACCAAGGTGCAAGCCAAGAGGCAGACCCCCACCCTAGGACTCCAGCCCCCCCCCCCCCCCCCCCCAAGCAGCCTTACCCTGAGGGTGCTGCCGCACTCGTGCAGCCCAGCCACGAAGGTCACGGTGCTCTCAGCAGCATTCCAGGCTTCAGGCAGGCAGGCAGCCGAGCCCAGGCTCAGCTCCGCAGCCCTGACCAGGCGCCCCGTGCCAAAGAGGTCCCTGTGCACCGTGACCACCACCTGCGCCTCCTGGCACTGCACGGCCACGGGGTGCAGCGGGGCAGCAGCCTGGAGCTGGGAGAAATCCACCCACGCCCAGGGAGAGGGCTGGGAGAAGGCACGGGGCCACCCTAAGGAAGGATCCCCTCCGTACCTCCATAACTCTGCCTCGCCCCTAAAGAAGCCCCACGGGTCATAAGCAACCACCTCCCCAAAAACCCAGCAGAAAAGAGCAAACACCAGGCTGCTTCCAAGCTTCATCTTGCCTACCAGAGTCCAGCACAAGGAGCAGCTGCTACCCAGGGACCTTTTATAGCCCCCCCACCTCCCACAGCTGCTCCCAGCCCAGGTGATGCTCCGCACACCGCCCATAAAGGCAACTGGCAACACCTGGGAGCACTCAATTCCCTGGGGAACCCATGGTGGTGGGCTCCAATGAGCTAATGAGGTGCTGGATGGGCTCCCTTGCCCACAGGAGAGATGTTGAGTCTGCTGTGCAGCCAACTGCAGGTTTTTTTCCCCATTTTTTGGTAACAACCAGCTCTGTAAGATCCACAGAGGTATGATCCACCTCCAGACCGTATGTCCCACCTCCAGATCAAGGGGCCCTTCTGCAGCGGGGTCGCTGGGGGATGATGTGGAGAGTAACACTTTCTCAAGGCAAATCCACTTTTCAGGTGCCCAAACTTGTCCCTGTCCCCAGCTCCTTTGAGGTGGTGATGATCGTCATTGGAGACACTCATGTCAAGGGCAACTGGGGACTCATGGCTGGCTCTTTGCTACTGAGCAAAAGTTGATTTTTTGGGGGGGAAGAAGGTGAAATTTAAACTTGAATCGAGCGGAAGAATACAAGGAAAAGGGTGGGATCACGGAGGAGATCGCCATCGGTTGCCCTGAATTGCATCCCTGCTACTCCAGGGCCAGACTCCACATGGTGTCCGCACCAGCGCGGCCACCCGCGTTTCCTCATGTTTCCTTGTGCTTCCCAGGATTTTAGCAAAAGGGAGGAAAATGCTTGTGCACACATGGCCGTTTAACTGTTTCCTGAACAGCCTCGTCTGCTGGAGCCACCTGCTTCCTGGGCAGGACTGGTGTTGAAATGAGCGGTAGCAAAATAATGAACAGAATAATACTTATCAGGACTAATATTAGAGCTACTAGGTATTAGAAGTGATAATTATTAGAATTATTAGACCTGGGGTTAAACGGTTCCCATGGTGTCTGCGATGATTCAGCAGCAGGTTGTCCACTCTGTGGTCCCCAGGGTTTGACCCAGCTGAATCACCCTGCAAGCTTCCTCATGCCTGGTTAGAGCCTGTAAATCAGGAGGAAAAACAGTTTGTGTATTCAGGTGACAGCAGAGAGGAGTACCGCTTAGGACAGGAGTCCTTGTGTGGGGGTTTAGGGACAGCACAAGGCTGTTTGCTTTGCCCCTGCCTCTGGGTGAACGTTGGTGAGCTCGCTGCTTTGCTTGCACACGCAGGTGAGGACCAGGTGAGATGTCCAGGAGTTTTGAGCGATAGCTGTGGCTGAATCAGGCCATTTTGGCATCACCCAAATGGGATAGCTGCCAGCAGGAATGCAATGCACCACCTGAAGGGAAATGACCTGGGTTGTTCTCATGGGGAGTGGACTGATGGGCTTTACTCGGCACCTCCCTGAACAAACAGGACCTCTTGGTGCTCTCTTGCTCGTCTTCAAGCCAGCACCTATCTCAGGGATAGCTGCGTGTCTCACACACGTGGGCCATCCTGTGCTCATTGTGCTCATCTCAGCTGCATCACGGGCTCGAGGGGCCATCATGCTGCAAAGCACCCATCACCGCACCACCCACCGCCCTGCACATCTGCCTTTTTGAGTGGGTGGGCATTGTGGGAACAGGGAGTGTCAGGAAATAATTTGCAATGCAAAACAAATTAGGAAAATAATTTATTTCCTCCGCATCCATAGGCAGGCGCAGGAGCTGAAGAGCAATGAGGTTCATCCCCTGATCAAGCAATTCCCTGGATTTCTTTGAGCTTGGAAATCAGAAGGAGAGGTAGGAAAATCATAGTCCTGTGTGCCCACTTAGGAGGTTCATATCCCAGACTAGAGGGGTAGGATCCTGCTGACCGAAGGAGGATTTTCATTTCTTCCCATAGCCGTGTCCCAAACAGCAGCTCACGGGAACAGAGCACCTCTGCCCAACCTCCTTCCCAGAAACGATGACTGTTCTTGGTCCTTCCAAACCAGTTTCCCCACCTGCTGTTTCTCCAGCCTGCTTCAAATCTGATTGACCCCCCCAAAAAAAGACCAGACCAGAAATGGTTCAAAAGATTCCTCCCAAGAGTTCGCTTGATCCGTTCAGGAGGGAAACAAAGGCACGGTGTGGCTGTAGGGTGTCGGATTAGAGGCAGGACATCTCCCAGCCAAGCTGATGTCCTCACCTCTTCACCTTAGCACAAGTTCAGATGAGAGAGGACAGCAAGAGATTGTCACACCCCAGAGGTCCAGACCCATCACCCCAGGCAGGAGTGGGCAGGAAATACTGAAGGCAAAACTACTGATGTGAGCCAGGATTTGGTGCCAGGACTCATTCCCCATGGGTGAGAGGGTTACGAGTACTGGAGAGGCACCAGCACCTTTCAACACTTTTGCTGGCCAAGTTCTTCAGCTTGTAGTTATCCTTGTCAGGGACCTCCTCCTTAATCAGGGGCAAAATGTCCAGGAATCCATACACAGCAGACCTGAACTCCTCTTTCTTGTTCGTGAGCGTCAACACTTTCAAGAGGGTGGGAAAGGGGAGTGACGAGAGACCAAAGCCACCCAGGATGGCCCTGTGGACAGTGTTGAGGTGGCAAAGCAGATTCCTCTGATCGATCTCGTAGACTCTATTTTTGGCCATCAAGCTGGACAAATATTTCACTGGCTGAATCAGGACTGGGAATATTTTGTCTCTATCTACTACCGTCATCTGAATTCCTTCATTTTCTAGAGAAGAGGAAGGGGAAGGGAAAGAGGATTGGAGAGGGAGGAAAGTCAGAATTAGTGTCCTGTTCAGTATGAAAACAAAGTATTGATCGAGTTGCTCAGCCTCTAACAGCCTTCACCATCGATAGCAGCTGGGGAACTGATCCATCATTTCACCTATCTTCACCATTCAGTCACACCCTCAGCTTCCAGCATCTCCAAAGCCCTTCAGGAGTGTCCTTCCCATCAACACTAACACCTCCTGCAGTGGGATCATTCCCCCTACCAGGAACATGAGGGACTTTACCGTTTTTTGTAGGTGGACTAAAGAGAGGGGCTTGAAATGTAAAATTCACCTCCCTCAAGAGAGATCCGCCCATGGGAAGGAGAAGCAGGAGAGCCCACGTTGACACAATGGCTCAAGGGCTGGTTAACTGGCCGAGCAACCTCAAAGAAATCTCCCCATGGCCCTAACAGGCTCCACATTCCTCCAGATATCCTGAAACTCAAAGGCAAGGCCTCCTGGGAGCTCAGGATATTGTCTTCTCCCTTACACAGCCAAGGTCATGATAAACATGCCTGAACTTCGACCCCCCCCAAAAAAAAGAGACACTGACAGATGTAGGGATCTGAGCTGGCTGCAACATGGGACCTCCCCGCTTAGAATCTCATGCAAAATCTTCAAGTCAAAGAAGACCAGAGATCCCTGTCTTGTGTCCAGTGTGTTCTGGCTGCTGATGGGAAGGCCCAGGTAGTCTTTGCTGGTGCTCTCATCAAGGATGTTGCTGAGGTCTGGAGCAGACTGGAGTCCTGGAAGAGCACACAATTTGCTTTTAATAAATGTCACAGGAGGAACCAGGACAGCAGCGCTGGGTACTCGTGTGTCCTGGATGTTACCAAAGCCCAGGGATCTACTCAAACTGCCTACTAGAGGACTTAGGGTGTAATAAGCCCCTCTGGTTGGTCATGAAGACTTGCTTCCTTTGCACCACAAAATGCAGTGACTTGCATACTCCATGCACGTCCACAGGGGACGGCTCACTTGGATCCTTCCCAACTGGCTTTCTGCTCAAAAGTGACAGAAAAGTTGGGGCTAGCCATCATCTCCCCTCTGGCTGTGAGCCAAGGACCTACCTAACCCAGCAAAGGGAAGCTGCCTGTTTCTAAAACCTCCACTGAAGAGCTGGTCACAAGCTTTTGGTCACGCAGACTGTCATGGGAACTGCTCAGTGCTGCAAAGTAACAACAAAACCCCATCCATCCGTAGCCTCAAAAAGAAAGCGAGGTTTTGGACTGCCCCTTCTTGCTGGCCTTCGTTCTGACTGCTCACCACCTTGGCATCACCAAGCTGGTATCTACCGACGTCTCCAAGCTGCTGGGCAGCCCAGTTCCCCCAAACATGGAGGAGACCTAGAGAGGATTTATTTTGGCACCCAGGAAGGATGTCACAAGTTCCTTGCCAGGCTCTAAGGGGGACTGTGGGATGGTCCTGAAGGTCTGGAAGCACCAAGCGGTCCAGCCTTCTTGGCTTAAACGCTGAGCAATGCAGGGCCAAGCACTGAAATCCCTTTAGCTGCACTCACCATCAACTCATCATCAGTGCTGTCCTCCTCAAAGCTGTCCAAGCAGAGAATATTGCTATCTGCCAAGGTAGAAAAGATGTGTCACCTTTCCGATGTGAGGCTGTCCACCCCTGCAGTGAGTTCCAGGGCTGATGGTCCCCTGATCAGCATCACCAGCCGTGCCAAGAGGTGGCCCTGGACAGCCAGCAAGGTGAGTGGGAAGCAAGCAGGGAGCAACCCTGCCCTCAGGGTCAACCTGAAAAAGGACTGATTCCCCCTCAAGCCACAGATACAGGGTACACACTAGGCAAGATCCCACAGGGGAGAGAGGACCAAAATGCAGCATCACGTAGCCTAAGAGGACGCAAGCAGCTGAAGGGTCAAAGTCTGGTTCTCCATAAATCTCCACCGAACATCTTGTCTTTGAATAAGACAATGTGCTGGGACATAATGATCCTCCTGGGAGCCCTACAGAGATGCTGCAAACTGTCCCGCCTCAATGCCTACCCCCTGTAAAGTCTACCCCTGGCTTCACCACGCCGGACACCGCTTACCTGAGTCGTGCAGCCCACCGTTGCCATCTGGCACACCTTCCAGCCAACTGTCCTCCTTGGAGAGAGTCACCAAACCTTTGGGGGACACCAAACAGCTGGTCCCAGGCTGGTCCGAGCAGCTTGGCTGCTGCGGCACAGGCTGGTTCCACCCGTCATCGTTGTCTTCAACCTTTACTAGCTTCACTGGCAGTGTCAGGATGGTTGCATTTTGGACTTCCTTCCTCTTTGCGGGGATGGAGTTGGAGACCTAAGTGTGCAAAGAGGAGCCCAGTGACAGCGGCCCTACGTGGTCAGGGATGGAGATGTTCGGCTGCGCTCCGATGGCAAAACACGGGTTTGTCCCTCCTCAAGGCAAGTGCTCTGCTTGCCCAGGTGGGCTCTGCTGCTCTAGGGTCACCCACTACCACCCCCTCATTTCTGGCATGAAGGCCCTGGCTATCCCAGGCCACTCCAACCACCTTGGTCAAGGTCCCCTCTTTGTCTGACAAAGGTCAGGAAAACTTTCTGCTTTGCTTAACAGCTGCAAAGGAGAAGATGGGAACCTCCCCCCTCCTGAGCTGGGGGGGGAATAAATAATCATCTTATCTTCTTGCTTCAGCCCTGAGGCTCGCAGACTCTGCAGGGTTCACAGGCAGGGTTAAGCCCTTCTGACCCCAGGCTGGGGTGGCTGGGGCCGTGCTCTGCAGAGGGGCAGCCTGGGGGGGTCTCCAGCCCTGGTCCTGTGATGGCTGGTTTGTCCCAGGTGAAGGCAGGCAGGTCTGATACTAGACAAGTCCTTCAAGCGCTATGGGCCTGGAAACCAGAATGTTGAAGGCCACTCCTGCTTGAGTGGGGCTCTGGGACATGTGCCTGGGGTCCCCAAATCCATCACAACCAGTCACAGCGTCTCTCCCTCGCCAGCCCTGGATGTGGGCAGGGCAGGGCAGGGTGCAGGCAGGAGATGACTTGCAAGCCACTGTGCCTACGAGAGCTCTTTATGGTGCATGCAGCAGCATGTCTCATGCCAATATGTTTGCACCTTAGCCAGAAAGGTGGGGATAAAGTCTGCCCTGGCTCTGCAGCCCTATGCCCAGCCAGCTTGGCTGATCTCCTCTTTCAGAAGAGAACTTGGAAAGCAGCAACCAACTGCGAGAACTCAAGCAGCTTTGCAAGGGCTGGGAGTAGCCCCAAATTCCTGCCGGATAACCCCAGGAAGCAAAAATCTCAGAGCGATGCCCACTCTCACCTGGTGGGAGTTTTCCATGGCTGGAGCTGGGGAAGCTTCTGAAAGAAGAAAAACACATCGAGCTGAGAGGAAGGCGAGCAATGCTGGGGGATGTCTGAGAGCAGCAAGAAAAGGCTCTGCAGAAGGCGCAGGTGGCTCCAAGAGGGTCACCTCTTGGAGATGCTAGCTCCTGAGGCTGAAATCCAGCAGTGAGCTCGTGGGCTGGGCTGGAGAGGTGCCCATTCTGCCTGGCCACTCACCAGCTCATTCACCCATCCTTGCACTAAAGCCTCTCCTCCAGCTCTCCTGTAGGGGTTTGCTGCCCTCCCACCCATCCCAGACCCATAAGCCAGGAGGTCACATGTGCTGGGAAGGAAAGAAAAAAGAAAGTTAGTAGGATCATGCTGTTCCTGAGCCTGTTATTGCTATGCAGTAGAGAGGGCTTGTTTGTGGGGGAGATGCTGCCTTCCCAAACCCAGCAAAAAGACCAATGCACTGTTCATCCAGGAGAATTTATTGGCATAGCAAGGCGAGCTGGAGAGCCAGGTCTCCACAGGGACCTTGAAAGGGGTTTCCAGTCAGCTGCAGTCCGTGCTAAATGTTTGCAGACCATCACTTTTTCCTCCGCTTCCGAAGTCTGGTGTTGGGCTTCCCATCACGCTTGCCCCTGGCGGGGTGCCTTGATTTGGGGCATTCCCCCTCGGAGGCTGGGCTGGGGGGCTCTGAGAGCACTGGGCTGCCAGGGGGGGTGGCAGGAGGGTGTCTGCTGGGGGAAGGGGCTGTGGCAGCCACTGGGACCAGTGGTTCCTGTTTCTGTGGGGTGCTGGGAGGGAATAACTCCAGCACGTTGGAGGGCAGCAGTGTCCAGTCCACATCGGTGGTGGGGAGGTCCCCTGGGCTGGCCACGGGCTGTGGCAAGGGTCCCACAGCAGAGGCGATGGTGGCCAGGGAGTGGGACATGGCCCGGATCTCCCGGGTCAGGGACACCAGGTGCCTGTTTCCCCTGTGCTGAGCTTGCAGGAGGCAATTGCTGATCTTCAGGAGCTCATCCGCCTGCTGCACGTTGGACCTGACCCAGCCACTGAAATCTTCCTGCAGGAAGTCCAGAGAGTCCTGGATGCTCCTAGGAAGAGGCACAGTGTCCCCATGGGCTGACCCCGAGTCTTCCTCTGCTTCTTCATCCCTCTGCATCGGAAGGGCTGGAGGTGTGGGGGACGTATCCCCTCCCTGGTCTGGACACAGGTGTCCTCTGTCACCGGATGGGTCCAACACGGGGGCACAGGGCTGGTGGTGGGCAGGCAGCCCCACGGGGAAACCTCCATGTGGTTGGCAATGCTCCCCGGGAGGCTCGAGGTCAAGGATCAGGGTGGTCTCTTCTTTGGACGGGGAGTCGTGCTGGGGAGCTGAGGTACCTGTTGCAGGGAGAGGGGCTGAAGGGAGCAGGAGGGGAAAACCAGGGCTCAGGGGGTCATCCCAGCCTGCCTCGGTGGGGTGGAGAGGGGATATGGAGGGACAGTGCCTACCACGCAGAGACGCAAGGAGTGGGGTGGGAGGCAGCTTGTCCCCAGGAAAGCCATCCAGGACATCACCCCTGGGCTCTTCTATGGACTGTCCACAGCCCACGAGCTTCCCCTGGGGAGCTCAGTGGTGGACACCCACAGAGGGCCAAGGAGGACACCAGCCATAGCCCAGATCTGAAGACAGCAGCAGGGGGATGGAGCGGTAGACCCCCTCCCACTGCTTTTTTCCCCCTCCATTTTTCTGGGATAATGCTACCACCTTCTGACCAAACAGGGATTCTCCAGCACACCGTCCCTGCACACAGCACAGATGCCAAGGCCTTCACCATTCCCAAACCATCAGCATCTCTGCCACAGCGCTGCTGCCGAAGAGCTGGGAGGAGACCTGGGCAAACCCAGCAGTGGTCGTGGGCCTCTTGCCATCCCTATCAGGGAGTCCTCCCGTGGGACATTTCGCCTTCCTGGTTGGATACACCATCCCAAGGCGGTAATCAACAACCCAAAAGGGGAATTGTCCCAGATGGTTGTGGACAAAGGTTGAACAGAGACAAACTGGTTGGAGATCTGAGGAGCAGAGGCGGTCAGTGGGTGGCAGGACACTAAGGACTGGAGGACAGTTGTGACCCCTGAGGGACCTGCACATGTCACCAGCACAAAAATTTCTCAGAGAGGACGTGGAGTTGATCCAAACCCTTCCACCTGCGTCCTCCTTGCCAACACCAGCCTCTGCGAGCCCCTGATCCACGCACCCCATCTCCAGGTGCCACTCACCTCCCCTGATCCTCAAGCCACAGCATGGCTCCATTCCAACCGATGTTCCCTCCCAGTACAACCGCGTTTGGGGGGGCTGCCGTACTCTGCAAGGGCCAGAGGCAAACGTTGCTTTGGAAGTGATGGATGCAACAACTGCATCCCATCCCTGGGGGAGGTTGGAGCATGCCCACTGCTGGAGCAAAGGCTGGGGGCACAGGTCCGTCAAGTCACCACGTGGAAGGAGACTTGAAACCCATGGAGAACGTGGTCGAAGCAGGGATGATAACCTTCAACTCCGCTTTCAGTCCTGCCCTCCCCAGCCCGCCCGGCCAAGTGCATCCTCACCTGGGTGCCCCGTGACGCGCTCCACCAGCTCCTGCAGCCTGGCCCTGCACTCAGCAAAGTCCCCGGGCTGCACTCTGTCCCTGGCCGCCGGCGGCTGCAGCCGCTGCAGCTCCCCCAGCGAGTCCCTGATGAAGGGCTGCATGTCCATCACCTCCTGCTCCGTGGCGTAGAGGCTCATCTTCTCCACCAGCCGCTCGCTCGCCTCCATCCGCCGCAGCACCCCCTCCACGCGCCGCAGCTCCCTCGCCAGCTCCCGCCGGCCCTGCTCCTGCCGCGCCTCCACCAGCCCCAGCAGCTCCTCTTCCTCCCGCCGGATCAGCCGCACCAGCTGCTCCACGTGCTGCCGGATCAGCTCCCGCATCTCCCGCTGCGCCTGCTCCAGCCGGGCGGCCTCAGCCTGCAGCACCTCGTAGGCGGCCTCGAAGCCGCTTCGCTTCTGCTTCAGCTCCTGGCTCGCGGTGACCAGCTCCTCCCGCCTGCGCCGGGTCTCGCTGTGGATGTCGCAGAAGGAGGCGTGCTGGCTGTCCAGCAGCGCGCAGACGCAGCACATAGGCTTGCAGCACTTGTTGCAGTAGATGCTGTGAGGCCAAGCACAGGCAGAGCAGATTTAGATCAGACACTCTGCAATTCAATCATTTATGAAATTGCAGATTCGTTCATTCATTGGATTTATTTTACCACCAAGTTTGGCCCGGCCGTTTGGTTTTATACTCTCCGACTGCAAAGAAATATGGTGGTTCACTGTCTCACAGGGTTTCTGCTCCTCTGCTGGGCTGGCTAAAGTCACTGCAGTGACTTTGCAATCGTTGTGGTAGACATTAATCCACACACCACAAGGGCAGTGAAGAAATTAGCTCTCTGCCCTTCCGTGAGTGCTTATTGCGGTTAGGTATAAGAATAAAAGACCAAAGAGTATCTTATCTCCATAAGATGCCGAAGACAAGAATACAAGAAGTGGGGAGTGGAGATCATCATCCATCCCTCATATAAGTCCTGGTAGCCTTGGCAAGTGGTGGGCTAGGGACAAGATTGAGGCAGGGGTTGCATATGGGCCACCTTGGCTAGCATCAGTGCTGGCCTCCCCCAGTGCTCCAGCCCCTTCCCCTCTCGCTTGGACCTTCTCTCAAGAGCATTTAAACCTTGTCCTGTGTCACACCCACGCTGTCACCCGAACCTTCTCCAAGCTGGTTTGGCACCATCTGGCGAAACATACTCTTCTCTGCTGTCCATCACGGCAGCTGAAGCAACAGGCCTTCTTCCTGCTGAGCTCCATCAACCTCACCCCCCTTACCCTAGCAAGGAGCACCCCACACACTTCCCCTCCCTCGGACTACTTGTCCGCACTCCCCCATCATCAGCTCGAACCCAGCTTCATCCAAACCATCTCTCCATGCCCTAGAGCCTACTGGTCACTACTTCCCACCCACCTTCTCCATGACCCGGTGGCAATCAGAGCAGCAGAGGGACAGGGACACCCTGCTCATTCCCATTACGGACTAGTCCAAAGAGATTTGTGACAAGAACCCACCCAGGTTGGGACAGACCTCCTTAGACCTACCTTACAGTCTGGCTCTTGTGGGTTGGGTTGGAGCAGGACAATTTATCAATCCTCCTGGTGCCCTCAAGGAAATCCTTAGCAGACCCTGCCCTGATGTCCATCAGCCTCTTGGCTTCGTGGCTCTCCCTCTTCAGGTAGTGCTGGTGGGCCTTGAAGCACTTGCTGCAGAGGAACTCCTCGCACTCAGAGCACCAGAACTCACCGGCTTTCTTGCAGTTGTCACAGAACAAGTCAACTCCGTCAACAATCTTCTTGTAGACCTTGAGCCTGACCCGCAGGTTGGTGAAGAGCAGGTTGTCTGTGCCGGGGACGCCGCTGGCCTGCGGGATGGCCGTCTGGCACAAAGGGCACTGCCTAATTGGGTTGTTCTTGATCAGGCAACCGAGGCACAAGGTGTGGAGGCAGGTGAGGAGCTTGAGGTCGGGCGATTCCTGCTTGCAGCCCTCGCAAAGGATGAACTGCATGTCCTCTTCTAGGAACTCGGGGACGGAGGGAGAGAGGAAGAGGAATAAGTGTTGGGGTGTGTTTTGAAGAGCTTCTGAAGCCACATCTTGGGGGGGGGGGGGGGGGGGGTGTGTGACCTGCAAACCAAACTTGGAGCAAGTAGTGAGCAACCACTTCCCAGCAGCGATGCCCAGGCCCTGTAAGCAGACTGGAGGTGGCTGGTGCACCCTGGTAAGGTTGGATGGATGGGGCCCTGCTGAGCGCTTCCTCCCCCTCTAGCAAAGAGGAGACGGGATGGTCCCCCTGGCTATGGGGTTCGGGGTGCGGGTTGGGGGGGGGTGGGGAGGGGGGTGGGCTGTAGAGGGGCAGCGCAGAGGGTGGGGTAATGGAGGAAGCATCCAGGGACCCCTGGGTGACACCCTGGCAGGGTGGGGACCATCCTCCCAGCCACTCAGCCCATCCCTCTGGCCTCCTGCCTCCCTCCTTCCCGCAGGGGACCAGCCCCCGTTCCCTGCCACCCACCAAACCGGGAAGGGGGGGTGTGTGGGGGGGAAACACCCCCAAATTTTTATCCCTATCGCTCCCCACCCCCGACGCCACGCCTTGGGGCCGGAGACTTTCTAGTGGCTTGCCCCCGCCTCCCCCCTCCAACCGAGCCCCCAGAGCCCCCTGCCCCGCCGGAGCCCACCGCCCGCATCCCACGCACGACCCCCGTGGACCACCCAGCGCTTACCCGGGTGCCGCAACCGTCGGTGGCCATGGCGGGGAGGGGGGGGGGGGGCGGGCACGCCCGGCAGCACTTTCGATTTCTTCTGCGTGGCAAATAACTCCTCCTTCGTGGCGGGGGCGGGAAGATCCCAACCCCGGTTACCCCCCAACACCCCCTAAAAGAACTTCACAGCCGGCTCAGACCTTCCCGGACATCCAGGAGGGAAGAAACCCGGACCCAAGGTCATCCCACCCCCACCCCCAAAAAAAAAGGGGGGGTGGGGTGGTGTGCAGTGCCAGAAAGGGGGGGGGGGGGGGCTGTGAGGGGGTTCAGGGATTGTCCCCCCCGTCCCCTTGGAGAGGATTCTCATATCCCTCTTTGTCCTGGGGAGCTGGATCCTGGCTCTCCTTTGCTCCTTCCTGCAGGGTTCTGGTACCCCCCAGCCATCTGCACCGTGGGGGCCACCACGAAATGAGGCCCACCACGAAATAGGAGCCACCACGAAATAGGGATCACCACAAAAGGGGGACTGCCAGAAGCACTTGGGGTACACCTAGCCTGGCAACCCCAAAGGGACAGGGCATGGTGGGGCACTACTATCACCTCCCCTCCGGGCTTTTGATGCCTGTAGGCTCTCCAAAACCTGGGCCAGGCTGGTGGCCCCCAACCCCAGGCTTTGAAGAAGACATTTAGCAGCTGATTTGACCCCGCTGCACCTGTGAAATATTTCAATTCCAAACATTCGAATTTTGGAAACATTTCAATTCTCTTTCCCCCCCTCTTGGCAAGCAGCCCCTAGCACAGCCAGGCCAGGCCAGCAAGACCAGTCAGGCTTGTCCCACTGGTGCAGCAAAACATCCTGGGGGGCTGGTAAAGCTGCCTGGAGCTCCGAGATGTTTTAACCCCTCGGGTGCTGGGTGCTGCTGGGGAGCCAAGCATCCCCGGAAAGGCTATGCCGCATCCCTTCCTCCCAATGACTCTTCCTCGCTGCACGCGGTGGGACTTCATGTGTTCACCAGGACCACACGGTTGAGATGGAGTCACACCACGCAGCCTCCTTGACTGGGCAGCAGCTCCCGCGCCCTGGCCAGCACGTGGCCTCTTTACGCAGCACCCAGGGGTCCCTTAGGGAAACTGAGGCACCGAGGGGTGCAGCCCCATCTGCCTGCAGAAGTCATCAGCCCATCGCTGCCCAGGCACAAGGCTGCAGATTTGGTTTATTGTCCATCAAGAGTTGATAGAAAGGAAGCTTACAAAATAAATAAATATCTATATATGCTTCTATACAGTCCACATGGCCCCGCGGACAGACCTCACAGCACGCATGCAAAAGCACTTTGAAGCACAAATTAGCGCAATCACTTATTACAAACCTCTGTCGGGAAGGCTCAGGTACCTCCAGGCAGGTCATTCCTCAAATCACCACCTCTGCTCCTTCCCCATAAATGCCAGTATCCCATTAGCAGTGCCACACTGGACCCCAACTCCAGCCTGCTGGTGGCATCCCAGCCTGCTCCAGCCATCCCTCATGCCCCGCTTCACCGCCCACCCTACCCCACGACTACTGTCCTTGGTCACAGGGTCCCCAAGCTCTTCTCTATCCAATTTTCCCAGCTCGTGCCCCTTCCAGTCTGAGATGCCCGGCCATGCAGCCCGTTGTGGGAGCACCAGGACATTGGTCTGTGCCCTGGTGGCATGCTGGCCAAGGGACCTGGAAGCAAACTGGCACGTGTTGGGGTGCCAGCTGCTTCCCATCCCCTAACGTTGTAGGCAAAGGTTGGGCATGGGGGGATAAAGCCAAGGACAGGCAGTGGAGCTCAGCCTCAGTTTCCCTGCTGAGGTCTTCACCCAACTCCTGCAGCCTCCACAGGGAGGACAGCAGGAGCTCCAGCAGGGCAAGGCCCCCACCACGCAGCACCCCAATACGTCCCCCGGCCTTCGCACACCTACAAAGACGCATGCACACAGACACGCACCCACACGCATGCTCTATCTACGTTGCTTCACGGCCTTGACGAGCTCCTCCAGCTTCAGGGCAAGGTGCAGGTCGCCCTTCACCTGCAGCTTCCCACTCATGTAGGCACTCAAGGGGCGCAGGTCACCCAAGAAGAGGTCCTGCAGGTCTTTCTCCGCCACCTCCAGAATGACATCGGGGCTGCCCTCGGGCACCCCGCGGCCAGCCCGCCCACTGCCTGTAGGACACGATGGGTGGGAGAGGGAGAGAAACAGCAGGCTTTACTTTGCATGGAGATAAATTTCTCTTGTGTTGCCCCACCAATGTCCTGTTACAGTGGTCCACCGCCAAGTCCCGTCCTACTTTTGCCATCACCACCAGGAAAACCGTAAGCGACCATGGATTAGGGTGCTGGGAGGACATCTTCCAGCATGGCAATGGCCCAAGGCACTGCCCACGCATGTCCCTCCATCACTACCTCCTTGGGCTGGTGGCACACAAGAGCCAACAAACCCTGAGGTCTCTGAGCCATCCCACTTGGGCAGCCATGAGGAGACCTGGCTGCCAATTTTCTATCGATGCTCTCTTTCTGAAGGAAAATGAGCGGTTTTAACCCAAAACTAATTATACTTTGGACTTCTGGGGAGCATGGGCTCAAGGCCACAATCGTCAAACCGCAGTGCTCGGCTGACGGACCCTGGGGTGCCTTTCTTGGAGCTACCAAACAGGCTTGGCTTGGGACACCCTACCACCAAGCCTGACGGGGTTTTGCAGCATGCAAAGGGGGCACAGGCACAAAACACCCTCCCGCCTCCAACAGAACAACCCCAAAGGGTGGTGACCTGAGGAGAGGTCTATGAAGTAGGTGCTCCGGGTGCCGCTGGGCAGGGCGATGTTGACCTGGTAGGATGCTCCCACCTGGCCGACCAGGGCCTCGGAGAGGACAAGCTCCACCGCCGAGAGCAGCTCGTCCGCGCTGGGCTTCCTCCGGGCGCTGCCGGCAGCGGCGAGGAGGGAAGCGGTGGGAGGCTCCACCTCGTTCACCGTCTCCACGCTGTCTGCTGGGGACAATGGGGCAGAAGTGGGTTGAGGGGACACCTTCAAGTGGTGAGCTTCCGTGGTCTGCATGGGCCCACAGGAAAGGTCTCCAGAGCAAAGAAACGCAGTTATCCAGCAAGTTTCTAGCTACGCAAGAAGGGGACAGCTGGTTTTGCCAGCTCCTACTGGCTGCTCCTCCGTCTGCCATGGGTTACTCTTCCCCTGCTACCAGGGGGTGGAAAATTAACCCTGGAAGAAATAGCAGGGTACAAACTGGTGCAGGGTTTCTCTAAAAAAAATCCATGTTGCCTTCAGATTTGACTTTCTCGGCAAGCTCAGGCTTGAGTTTGCCTGATGGAAATGCTGAGATCTGAGTTGGTCTTGAGCCCAGGCTCCTGCATATCTGCTCCTGCCCTCCCCGGTCCCATCTCCAATGTCTTGTTAGAAAGGTTGTGTTGTGCCACATGCTGTATGGAGCTGTGCCTGAAGGCGGTCCTCCCTCTCTCCTCCCCCCTACCAGCCTATTTGTGCTGTGCTCCTAGGAACGTGTTATCTCCTAGACTTTGACTCTTCTGTCAAACATCCAATGGACACAAAGGTCATCAGGCAAGAGGGACATCCCCCATCAAGGCAGTGGCCCTGGGTTGGTTACCTGCCTCTGGAGCACCGGTCCCGCTGCCCACCAGAGCCAGGGTGTTGCCGAAGAAATGGGCAGCCAGCTGCTGAATGGTGCCATCCAGCCCCTCCAGCCCAGGCATGGGTGGCACGGTGGCCGGAGGGCCCACCAGGTTCTCCCGGGGTGGCTGCAGCACAGCCTCCATGCTCAGCTCCACCCGGTCCACCTCCAGGCCCCAGGACTTGGTCTTGTCGTTAATCTCCAGCTGCAGAGCCAAGAAGAAAGGGAGAGGTGTTGGCAGCCCAGGCAGAGCTGGGAATGGCCATGGAGACCACCCACCATAGCACCCCCAACCGTGGGCATCCCATAGCTTATACTTCTGCTACCCCACCAGCTTTAGATGTGGGGTGCTGGACTACGCTCAGTAGTCCACCTCCTCTGAGCTATGCACTCTCACATTCAACCCTGCTCGCCCAGTTGCTCTTCTGGCTTGGAGGAGGTCAGGTCAAGGAGGACAGCTGGGTCTTGTTCCCCTTTGCATGGCTTCCTCCCAGGGCAGCCCCTTTACTTGCTCCCCCTGGGCAACATGTCCTGGTACGGTGCTCCACCAGGAAGCACCTCTGGGCTCCAAACCACCCCAGAGATACCACTACATCCTGCCAGCCTCCTTTTATATCATCCCTTATAAACATTCAACCCACAAGATCTTGGCCTGGCTCAGGTCAGCTGCGGGCACTCCTCATCACCCCTCTGCCACCACCCTGTCCTGCTCCTCTCCTCAAAAGCCCTTTCCAGTTTGCAGCCCCCTCCAGATGTTTTCTTGGTGGAGATACGGAGGCTGAATTTAAGCCTGCCAACAACACGTGGGCTTTTCTGTGTGGCCAAAGCCTTTAGAGATAAGCCACAGAGCTCTAGAGATCCACAGGCTGAAGGTATCTGCTAATCACCGCGTTTTCCCAGCTCCCTTCCTTGGCCAGATGGACTTTCAGCAGCTTCATCTTTCCCTTACTGTTACTTCAACACCAAGAGCCCAAGGGTTTGGGGGGCTTGGGGGGCTCTGCTCAGGGCTGGGGCAGTCCTCACCAGCAGCTGCTCCCCAATCCTCAGCTTCTCCACCTGGATCTCACGGAGACTCTTCTTCACCAAGGTCTTGGTCATGGCGTTCTGCGCCGTCATCCGGGTGGCCGTGATGAGGTCCTTCACCATCATGACGGACAACACGGGGTCCCACACCCGGAATTGGACATCGGCGCCCATGGAGATGATCGCCCCATCCTTGGAAGTCATCTAGGGCAGAAGGGAGTCAGGATCTCTCCCCTTCTCTGCCCCATGGCCCAGCCCTTGTGAGTAAAGCCCAGGAGCAAAGGCGTTCACTTCCTTCCCAGCTAGCAATCAGTTCTAGATCTCTTAATAAAGAGGGTTATTAGAAACAAAACCAACCCAAATAATTAAGTTTGGGCTATTCTGAATGGTGAGGACACTTTCCAGCATGGGGTTGTTCTTGGAAGACATCTGGGAGCAACAAGCGATTGATGTTTTTGAGATGTCTCCAGCCAGGAACAGCCACTGAGCAAATTGTGCAGTCAAGAGGAGCTTTTCAACCGCAGGCAGGTGAGGACCCAGGCTTCACAGCACCAGCTACAACCCCCCTGGCCTCACCATGATGATGGAGGAACTGAACGTTGGGTCCATGCACGACACCAAGGGTCAGACCATCTCAAAATCCACCCGCTCTGGGTATTTTAGAGATGGTTCTCCATCCTGCCCCGAGGCCCAAGGCAGCTCACCTTGCAGGGGGGCACGTTGAAGGCCCTGGTCCTCAGGTCCACTCGCTGCCAGTGATCGATGAAGGGCAGCAGCAGGACCACGCCGGGTCCCTGAGGCGCCCGGATGCGGCCCAGGCGGAAGATGATCATTCGCTCGTAGGTGGGAACGATCTGGAATGGGAAAGTTTAGACCAAGGCAGAAGCAAAACCCTGGCTCCTGCAGTGCCAGGAGCAATGGGACCAGGGGCAGCCAGGAACTGTCCCCGCCACGGAGGATGGGTTGTCATCCCACTCCTCACTTGCTTTCCTCCTTACCTTCAAGGCAAACCATCCTGAGATGGGGAATGTGACAACCATCAGCAAGAAGACCAAGGAGGTGATAATCCCATGACAGATCCAGGACAGCCAACCCTGGGAGGAGTCTGCAAGGGGGGTGAAAAGGGGATGTACCTGCTCCAAAACCTCCTGCCCTGCCCGTGAACCCCCATCCAAGCCTCTCCCTCCGTGCACCCTGCGCCCCGGGGAAGCCGGCAGCGAGCCAGCACGACACCCCACGGTAAAAGTGGCAACAGGGAGGAAGACAACAATTCTTCTCGAAGGTGGGGACTCACCTGTGGTATTCCCAGCCGGCCCCAGAGGGTCTTGCTTGGATCCGAAGGAGAAGAAGCCCTTCTGGGCACCGTAGAGCCCAATGCTGGACTGCTGGAAGCGGTCAAAGTCTCCCAAGGGAAGGGCCTGGTATCCTGACCGGCTGAACATGGTGCTGGTGCCTTGCACGGAGCCCTGCTCCGGGTGCTCGGAGCCCTCTAAGCCTGGCTCCCCGCTGCCATCACAGCCACCCCTGTGAGCAGCGTAGCTTCTGCCTGTCCCCGACCCGATCCAACGTCCCTGCCCGGCTGCCTACAAACCTCCCCTCCCTGACGTGCGACCGGAGAGACGCCGGAGGAGAGCTGACAAGCCCGGCTGTTATCACGGAGGACGCTTGCGAGAAGAAATCAAGTCCTTCAAGGGGTTTCTTTGCTGGGGTCTCACCCAGGCTGGGGGGGGGGGTGTGGGTGGGGGGTGTGCTTCACATCCTGCCGGCGACCCTCGGGAAAAGCAGCAGCCCCGCAGCCACCCTCCGCTCGGCACCCCCCGGGGGAGCTGGGAGATGACCCCGGCGTGTCCCCGGCCACCGGCCCCGTGGCCGTGGGGACCGGAGGCCGCGGTGAGGATGCTGTGGCGGGGAAGGAGGGAGCCGCTGGCGCTTCCTGGTCCGCCCGTCATGTGGCTGCTGACGGCACAGGGACGAAACGGTTCCCAGCTCCCGGCTGGCTGAGTTTTTCCGGAGAGGCCCTGCCTGGCGACTGCTCCCCCGGCCATGGCGAGGACCGGGTCCTCCATCGCACACACACCTTGAGGGGCTCCGGAGGGTCCCCCCCGTCCCATGGGAAAGCGGAAAAGGTATTTTTCCTTCTGATTCCCGCTCCGGCGTGGCCTTCTCACCACGCCAAAGCCCCCTGACCCCCTGATCTCGCTGGCCTGCAAAGGGTAGTGGAGACCAAAAAGCAGCCTGAAGCAGCACTGCTGAGGAGGGGGGTGGGGTGGGTGGGGTGGCAATAAGGCAGGTTTAAAACCCCCCTTGGCTGAACCGGGAGCCTGGGACGCTGCCCCAGACACAGCAGCAGCTCTTGCAGCCGAGCCGGCGCCCAGCCGTGCACCCCGGCACAGCTCGGGGGGTCCTATCCAGCAGCTGAAGCAGAGCTTTGCCATCCAACCCTGCTCTGGTACCAGCACCCCCCACCCCCCCTTGGTGCCTGTATCCCCCCCGGCTCCGGTACCAGCATCCCGCCGGTACCAGCATCCTTACCCCAGTACCAGCATCCCCCCCTCGCCCCCTCCCCGAAGTTTCCTCCGCCACCGGCACCCCAGGGGAGAGGGGAGGCAGGAGCGGGCAGGAGCAGGGCGCTGCCCGGGTGGGAGCGAGGAGCCCCTTGCTCTCTCCCTTCCTACCCCCCCCCACCTCCCGGCACCGCGCACCTCTCCCGCCCGGGGAACCCCCGCTTTGCCTTCCCCGCCTTCTTCCCGTCAGCTGCTCCTCCTCCTCCCCTCCCCAGGCAGATTTAGGAAAACGAAACTTTCCGGTAAACGTTGCTCGGGCCCGCCGTCTACATGCCCGACAGCCCCGTCGCCCCCCGGCCGCCCAACCCCGGCCCCCCAGAAGGTAAGGGGGAGCTCCCCGCTTTTCTGGAGGGGGAGGCGGGACGGGACGGCGGGGCAAAGCCTGGTCCAGGGCCCCCCCAAAGCGAGCCGTGGGGATTGCCTGCGTGGGTGGGGGGAGTTATTCTTTAGGGTGCAAAACCATTGTATGATGGGAGGAAAGGAGGTGATAAGGGGGGGGGGGTGTCCCTGCTTTATTTGGGGGGCTCCTGCCTGAGCTGCCGGGCTGGGGGAGGCTCGGGGGGGATGAGGAGTGGGGAGGGGGACACCTCTGGGGACAGGGACGGTGCCGACATCCCGGTGCGGCCTGGGAGGTTTTGTGGGACCGGGGGGAGACTGTCGCCAGGGCCCACACCCCACACCCCCACACCCCCCCCCGCCCTGGCCTCAAAGTGAAAGTAAAGTCACATTGCAGCCTTCGTTTTCCCTGCCCCAACTTTGAAATCCCGAATTCCACGAAGGGGAAGAGGTTGGGGAGGGGGAAGGAAAGCCTCCAAGGGTCCCCCACCGAGGGCAGGAGGGAGCACAACCCTTTGCAGCCAGCAGAGAATCTCCCTGGGAGAGCACCCTGTGCCTTGCCGGGGTGCTGCCACCCACTCGCCCTTGGCCGGAGGGATGAAAAAGAGCCACTCACCCCCCCTTGCTGCTCCCTTATCCCCTCCCTGCAAACGGGGTGGGTACAGTGGGCTGCCCACGGGTGGCCTGCGTGACCCCCACGGGTGGGACTGAGCCTTCCGTCCCCCTCCATCTCACGTGCTCCGACGAGGTCTTTTCTCCCAAATCCCACCTAGATGGAGACGGTGCCACTGCCCCCGTGGAGACAGGACCCCAGCCGGGTACATCCTCGTGCTCCCCTCCACCCCACCCTCCCGAAGTGGAGGAGGACCTACAGTTTGTCCTCTGCGAGCGCTGCCGGCAGGAATCGCCCAACCTCAAGCTCCTCACCTGCCTCCACACCTTGTGCCTGGATTGCCTGAGCGAGAACAAGCCCATCGGGCAATGCCCTGTGTGCCAGACAGCCATCCCGCAGGCCAGCGGCGTCCCCAGCATGGACAACCTGCTCTTCACCAACTTGCAGACCAGGCTCAAGGTCTACAAGAAGATCAGAAACAGCAGCGGCCTGAGTTGCAGCCGGTGCCGGAGGGAAGCGGTGGCAATGTGGTGCTCCGAGTGCGAGGAGTTCCTCTGCACCAAGTGCTTTGAGGACCACCAGTGGTTCTTCAAGAAGAAGAGCCACGAGGCCAAGAGGGTGGAGGAGCTTTGTGCTGAGTCAGCCCATCAGTTCCTGAAGGACAGCAGAAAGTCCTGCAACCTCTTCTGCTCCCGGCCCGATCACGCTGACCAGGGCCACATCTCCAGGTGAGAGCGGTGCCTTGTCCCCGCATCCCGTCCTGCACCAAGGGCTTTGGGGCTGCTGCTCCAGGACCAACTCTGCCAGGAGGGCAGAGCCGAGGGGTTTTCATCACCTGCCTTCGGAGAGGGACTGCTGCAAGCCCGGCGAGACCCTGGGCCGGAGAAGGGTGTGATGTGAGGCTGGCAGGTCCCTGGGAGGAGGGAGGGGAGCAAGGGTGGGTTGAACGCCCAGCTTCATGCCCACATCTGCAGGTGGTGATGTGAGGCAAAGCCCTTTTTGCCCCGTTCTCAGCTTCCCCTCTGGTCAAACCCCTCAGCTGTCCCTTGGGGAGGGGGAAATCGCACCCAGCACTGTGCAAATGCTTTCGTCCCCCTGCTCACGTCCCGCCTTTGAAGGAGCTTCCCATTTCGTTCCAGCATCTACTGCAACAAGTGTGAGAAGGCGCTGTGCTGCTCATGCGCGCTGCTGGACAGCCAGCACGCCTCCTTCTGCGACATCCACAGCGAGACCCGGCGCAGGCGGGAGGAGCTGGTCACCGCGAGCCAGGAGCTGAAGCAGAAGCGAAGCGGCTTCGAGGCCGCCTACGAGGTGCTGCAGGCTGAGGCCGCCCGGCTGGAGCAGGCGCAGCGGGAGATGCGGGAGCTGATCCGGCAGCACGTGGAGCAGCTGGTGCGGCTGATCCGGCGGGAGGAAGAGGAGCTGCTGGGGCTGGTGGAGGCGCGGCAGGAGCAGGGCCGGCGGGAGCTGGCGAGGGAGCTGCGGCGCGTGGAGGGGGTGCTGCGGCGGATGGAGGCGAGCGAGCGGCTGGTGGAGAAGATGAGCCTCTACGCCACGGAGCAGGAGGTGATGGACATGCAGCCCTTCATCAGGGACTCGCTGGGGGAGCTGCAGCGGCTGCAGCCGCCGGCGGCCAGGGACAGAGTGCAGCCCGGGGACTTTGCTGAGTGCAGGGCCAGGCTGCAGGAGCTGGTGGAGCGCGTCACGGGGCACCCAGGTGAGGACTTGCCGCGGGGATGGATCCAGCCACCCCACTTGGGTCAGCTCAGAAAGCCGTCACCCAGCTCTGGGTCCTGCAGGGTTCAGAGCCACCTCCCTGCAGCAAAATGAGCCCAGATTCACGCTCGTGAGGTGCTTATTTCCACTGGGGCCAAGAACTGCTCTTTTGCTTATATGGCCAGAGTCTCTTTTTGGTCTCCCACCAATCTGACGAGCTGTGGTGACACTGATTTCTGGGCCTCCAGAGGCTCCTACACCCCTTGGGCCATCCCAAACCAAAGGGCTGGGAAATGAAAAGGAAATCAGAGCTGTCCCTACCTTGCTGCAGCTGCCAGGCAGAGGCAGGTTGTTCCCAGCTGGGCTGCTGCCAGGGCCGGGTGGGAGCTCCAGAGGCTCCGATTCAGGATTGCAGCCCTGCTCTCTCCGTTACAGGCACTGATTCCCAAGCTGTCCCCACGGTCGAGGTGGCCCTGGAGAACAACCTGGTGAGATGTCCCTGTTTCATCCCGATCTGCTGCCGCGTGGGGAGGGCTCCTGCATCCACTGAAATGGGGATCCCTGCTTTCTCTGACATTTGCAAGCCTTTCCCAAGGGTCTGCTTTCTTCTCCCCGGGCCATCGCCCCCATTTCTTCATCAACAAGAAACCCCCAGGGATGTTTCTACCTGGGCAGAGAAGCACCTGCTTCGTAGCCATCATTTTCCACTACCCAGGCGTGCTCCTACCCCATCCCACTTCCCCGAGCCTGCTGCTTCCTTCCTCATTTTCAGCAGGGAAAACCGTAGCCTCCGCCAGCTCTAGCACTGCCTAAGACCCACAGCTCAGGCACAAGCCTTGAGCCAAGCCAGAGGGTTGGTCTGTGCCTCAGTTTCCCCCCTGCTGAGGATGTTTCTGCCCCCCCCCCACGGCTCTGCCCGCCGCTCAGGGACACCCCAGCCCTGCAGAGGGGACGGTGATCCCAAGGGCCACCCCAACGCTGCTTCGCACTCTCTCTGCAGCAAGAGGAGCCGGTCCAGCCTGAGAGCCAGACCGTCTTGCCCACCTTCACCATCAGCCTCGAGGAGATGCAGACGAGCCCGGTAAGAACCACCCTGGCCAGGCAGGAGCCTTTTGGCGACTGGGAGATGCCGCCCCGGCACCCTTCATCCCCCGTGCTCTCCCCTCTCCAGGCTCTCCCTGTCAACACATGGTCCAAGCGGAGGTCGGACTGCGTGGAAAGGGGCAGCCTGATCTCACCCAAGGTACTGAAGTTGGAGTGCAACAACACACCAGTCCCCATCAATCCCAGTTCAAACCAGTGGGATGGCACAAGGGTGCCCAGAACCTCCATGCCGAGCCGGAACTGCAGCAGCATCCCTGCCACCAGCAGCCACATTGATGATGCAGGTGGGGACCGGGGACATGGCCCTCCTTGTTACCCCATCTCTTCCCTCCCCTTATGGGGGTCCCCCATCTTTCCCAGCCTCTGTGCACCCCCATGCACTCAGAGCCTTGGCCAACCTCCCTCAGGTCAGAGAAGCAGAGGGTGGGAGCTGGTTCCTGGGGTGTAAAGATGAGAGCAACGTTCAGGGGTGGACACGGATGCTCCATCCCTCTCCATGTCCTGCCTCCGAGGCAGCCAAAACCCAAGCCTAGGGGAGAGCAGAGCAGCAGGGTAAGTGTGCAGAGAGACTCCCCTGCCTCCTGCTCCAGGAGCTCTGGAATTTCCCAGAGCAAA